CACACCTTGCATTCATCGAATTTCCCTCGGACTTACTGAATAGGCCAAGTTCTCACATATTTTCATTTATGGGCTAGATGGAGGTCATTTGTCGTTCAAAACAGCTACGGGGATTTCTCACTGATTCCATTAAGTTGATTGGCCGTTTTGCCTTTATGTCTTCGGTGATTTCATTAATTGAGGGTGTGTGCTTAGTTTCTAATTATTGTTGTTGTTGTTTTTTTTTTTTTTTTTTGAAGAAAATTTTTTTTAAAAAGTGTGTGCTTAATTTCCAAATGTTTTTTTTTTTTTTTTGAAAAGACATTTTTTTTAAATAAGAAATGGGATTGTACACGTGGTAATAAACTTTTTTAACTTTCGATTTTTCAATTTTCAATTTCCAATGTTTTCATTTTCCATTTTTGCACATTGCATGTGACGTATATTTCCGCTGCAACCGTCACAGGGACGAGGTCCATTTGCAGCACTTAATAGGAATGTATGTAATTTGATGGACCGAAACATTCCCATTCAGATTTTATTTATATTTTATTCATATCTCCATTTCAGTCTTTTTACAATCTTTCATAATCATAAACCATCTAAATTTAAATGTAAAAAAAGTGTTGAAGGGGCTGGCAAAAGGAATAAGAATAGCAAAAAAGCTGAGAACGGGCAAGAGATGCCTGGCCGTTAGATGTTTTTCGTAGATGCGGGAGGATGTTGTGGTGTAATTTAGAAATTAAGTACCCGTCCAAAGTACTGAATTCACTAATTGAGTGCAAATCCTTTATTTTATTCGTTGCTACAAGAAACTGGAGGAGTTCAGTATCGCACTACCTCGTTACAACTCCATAACTTCGTTAATTTGTGCTGCCAGTCATCGGACGATTAATGTACTTGGACTCTTGGTTCCTCAAACTTGATTATCCCTATTAGCTGAGGTTGTTTGATACTTCGCTGCCCCCCGCAGTGACTTTTAGGGTCTTCACACGCTCTTGTCAATATGAATGACAAGCTTAATTTTACAGCGCTTTAAAAAATCACTGTTACTGTTTTAGGCGCATTTCCCTTTCATCTTGACTTACCTTG